CCCCAGCAGCCCACTCCCCTCTGGGGAGCAGAGCCCAGGGCAGGTATGAAATGGGCAAGAAACGCTCTCCTCTCCCCCCCCTTCAAGGCTTTGCCCCTTGCCCTGGGCAGTTGGGCGCCTGCCGCTCCCTTGCCTCCGGCCGAGGCGGGCCTCTCATATCTCCCCCAGCAGCAGACGGGCAGGTGCTGCTCAAGTGCAACGTTTGGAACGTAAGAGCCAGGAGTCACAGGAGCTGGATGTCCCCAAGAAAGCACCTCCCACTAACAGCCCAGCAAGGCCGGGGAGAGCGCTATCTGAACCAGACTCCCCAAAACCTTCTGCCCTCCCTACCCAGCTTCAAATTCACATGTAAATGTTTGGCAGGTCACATTTCAAACCCGGCACCACCGGAGCATCATGTGCGTACAGGGTGCACCTCCCTCACGGCTGTTCCTGGACCAGAGGATATGGGGGCTGGTAGCTCCATCAGCAGACGGGTGCTGAGCCAAAAGCAGAGCCAGCAGCAGAGAGGGGTGGCAGCCTGGGAGGCTAGTGACAGGGGGCCTCCCCGATCCGGTAAATTCCCTTATTCAGGACCAGTCAGGGCCCCAGGGTGCTGTACGAGGGAGGTCCAACCAGTATACTTTTATACACAAACACACTACGCATTCACTCTGATCACAATTCCCAACCCATCACTTATGGAAAACCTACTACATGTGAAACCAAACAGGGCCACTGTACAGTTCTTGAGCGACACGGCTACTTCCCCTACCTGAGAAGCACTCAAACTGCTGAGAAAAGCCCCAGTGAAACATTCACAGCTTTTTATTGTAAAAAGAGTTACACACCCACTTCACATTTAGACACAGCTGTACAGATGTGCAGGCTTCTCTCTCCTACGCTCATGAAGGGGTTTTGTGGGGAGGCAGGTAGGAGTCTCTGCAAGGAAAGGATCCAGCAGCCCAATTTCACGTGAAAATGAAAGTGCATTTGTCCAAAAAAAGAGGGTTTGCAAATTAAATTGCTTAGTAGAAATGACCAAATACACTGATATGCCAGCACAGCAACTGCTATTCGATTCTCTTTTGATGGCTCCAGTTCAAAACCAAAAACATCCGGGACTTTAAAAAGGAGAATAAAATACTCATGTGAAATGTGGGAGTTACCATGTTGGAAAGAAAAGTTCGAGTCATGGGGATATGGAAAGTGTACACTTCCCTCCACAACAGCCTGCCACCAACATGCACCCAATGCCAGACCTGCAAGGGCATTTTGTACGGCTGAGGGGATCACCCTTCGGTTGCCTATTTACATGTGACTTCTCTGCTAAGATTGCCAGCTGGGGGCGAATTGGCATCCACTGGGATGGTGTCTGGGTCACGTGGACACTGCTCCAGGAGGCGATCGCTGCGCTGCTGGCTTGCAGGAAATCAAGCAGCCATCAGAAGTAACCACTTTCAGTCCCTGCCACGCCAGGCTGGACTTGCGCATACAGTGAAGATGAAGACCTCTAGGTCCCACTGTGAACACCAGCCTGGTCCCACGAGAAGTAGACAACGAAGCAGATTTGAATCTGAACTCAACTGCATCCCCTAGATCCAGCTCCTCTAAAATACGGACCACAAAGATGAGACCAGGGTCCTGAGGGCTCGGAGTATCTGGAGGGGAGTGCGGTCTGCTGGGGTCATTCCTCCTGGGAAAGTTCTTGCTAGTTGGACAGAACCTTCCGAATCCGTTCACACACTTCTCTGGGTCCCAAGGAAACCATCATCTCAGCAACGCTGGGTCCATGCTGAAAACACACACAACAGACACTGCACAAGTGGAAGCCAGCACTCCGTTCCACTCACACTCATCCCAGCACTGTATCGGAAAGCCACTGACGTTCTCCCTTGGTAACATGCAGCAGGTACAACTCTGTATCCCTCTATACTGGAGAGGGCTGACTGAGGAGTTGTCAGTCACCTGCAATTAAAATAACCTGACGTTTCTAATACGAGACACTGGGTCTGTTTTCAGGGAAGAAAAATTCCCATCAGGCCAACTTCTCCACTGGGGTAGCGCCTTCAAACTCAGAGGAGTTATGCCAAGAGAACTCGCCAAGAGAACTCGCCAAGAGAACTCATTTTGGACAGAAGGAGGAATTTACTGTTGGTTACATTATGAGCCGTGACGCACACAAGAACCCAACAGCTGACAATGCTCCTTACAAACCAGCCTGTGTCTTTCCAACCACAGGTTTGCAACTCTGGGGGGAGGGGTGGACTTGATGCCTCTAGTCACTCCTAGCATCACTCTCTGACAAGGAGCTTTCACATTAGCGCAGTCACTTACCATAACTGAGGAACACACACAAGATCCCCCTCCCTCCTCTCCACTGGCATCTAGCTAACTGGACATACCCCTCTGCTTTTCCCCCGTTCCCAGACATTGGCTTTCTTAGTTCTAATTTAGGTTAAGCTTTTTATCACGCATTTGGCAGGTTATCTTTAGTACAATGCAACTTGTTACTCTAGGCCACTTTGCCTAGAAACCATATTGCTTATGAATGTGTGTGCAATCTGCGGAATGTGTGAGATGTGAATGAGAAATACCCAAGGCAGTTTAGGCTCCGTGACCTTTTAAGGCAAACACCCTGCAGGCAGATAAATTAACTGAGAGGCAGCCAGAAAATCTCTCTCGGACAAGATGTAACATCACAGCAGAAACCTGGGACCGGCCCAGAGAAGCATAAAGCCTCCTGCAGGTCCGAAGGGCTCTCCCAAGGAACATCAGGGCGAGTCTCCAGGAAGCTGACGCCTGGCCAGCACGCCAACCACCAGCCAAGTCAAAAGTGATCCGGGTTTGCTCCTCAGCAGGCCTGAGGAAGTGCCACAAGATCTAGCACCCACAAGCCTGTGTCCTGTGACCAGGCTGTTAGATAGAAACAGCTCAACTCCTATGGCTGTTACCTGCTGCCCACTGAGGGCCAAGCGGAGGAGTTTCATCATGCTGCTGTACTTGGTCCCTCTCATCTGCTCCTCCAGGCCTCTCAGGTCTTCATTCAGCCCTTCTGTAGTCAGAGCACCCATCTGCCCTTCCATCAGCCTTTCAGAGAAGATGCTCTCAATCTAGTGGCACGTGGGGGAGAGGAATTCCCATCTGGGGCAGCCCCCTGCCTATGGGGAGCTGCTCCAGCCCCTCCCCCCATTAACCTTTCACATCCCTAGTGGATATTTACAAACAGTGCCCCCCACCCCCCACGGGACAGCGCGGGAGAAAGCGCAAAGCTGCGAGTTTGAACATTTAACAGACGGGGGAGAGGCTGCTCTTCGGGGCTGACCGGACGGGAGCACCAAGAGCGGACAAGAGAGGCCAGGGGGGCGAGGACCGAGTGTGACTGCGTTTGGCTTCTCAGCACGTGCGAACTGCAGCCCATTTTCTAGAGCGTGTCTGACGCCAGCACAGGCTGAGCAGTAAGACCAGTGAGAGGGGGCAGGCAGGAGAGAGCAGAGCAGGGAGGGGACGCTTACCCGATCACTCGCTTTCCTATCTCATCTGCTTCTGCTGAGACACTTTGCAGCTGCTCTCGGGACACGGACGGCTTGACCCATAAGTAAGAATACTCAGGCGCCACCAGGTTCTTCAGGCTGCTTATGTGACCCTGCGGGACGGAAGGGTGGACTGTCAGGGCCAGGCAGCCCATGGAGAGCAGAGACAGTCTCAGGGACAGGGTGGCAAAGGGGTCATTCCCCACTGCCCTGGCGCTCACCAGGCAGAATGCGGGTGCTCGGCTTGCGGGGCATTTTACACCCACTTCCCACTGGCGTGCAAGCGCTGGGCTACCCCGAGTGAGGGCTACCAGCCTGAGCAACAGGCCAGCAGGCAAGCCGAGTCAGAGCCGGACCTGCAAATGGCTTCCCACACTGACTCATGGGGGGCAGAAGCAGGAAGTCACATGAGTAATTTTGTATCTGCTGCCATCGTGAAACCACATCGTCAAGGCGTTTCCTGCCTTTCTAAAGCAAGAGCGTGCAGTGACCCCCAACCGGCAGCGACCTCGTGGAGTGGAGCATAGGCCCCAAGAAACCCTGCGGCCTCGACCCGTAGCTTCAGGCAGGGCCACCATCTCCCCTTCTCGCCACCTCCTTTGAGATCCGGGCTCTGAAGGACAGAACCCTCGATTCCACCACAAAGTACCACACTGGCTCTCTCCCTTTAGCCCAGAAGAGGCAGAAGGCAGACGAGCTTCCAGCTGCCCAGCAGCCAGCCCCGGAGACAGCCAGCCTCCTGGGGCGAGAGAAGGCCCGTTCAGTCCTTGGTCTCTCTGCTGAGGCCATGGTGGGTCTGGTGATGCAAACGGCTGCTCACAAGCCCAGCACGGGCAGACACGCAGGTCTGCAGAGGCAGAGGAGATGCCTGGAGCGTCCTCGCTGACTCCACAGCTCAGCGTCTGGGCACAAAGCAGGCCTACGGGGACCTCCCATGGCACGAGGCCTCGGAGCGTCAGAGCATTTCCCAGAACCCAGCTGGGCTACCCGCAGAGCCTCTGCCCTCCCCACATGCTACTCCTCTGCCCCAGGCACCAGCGTCGTACCTTTCTCAGCAG